TCTACATGCAGCTTCTTCCTTCTCACATCTCCATGCATTGCCCTTTCAGGGACTTCAAAGATATTATGTTTTGACTGGCCTCCAAGGCCTTCCTTTGAAATCTTGGAGGAAGCCTCTGTGACTCTCTTACTCAAGAATTCTTTATTACTGCAGAACCAGCACCACAAGGTTTGTCACTATCTTAAGCAATAGCCAAGATTCCAGGGCTCATGGCTGCAGCAGCCTCTGAGTACCTGGGTGGCTGAGCATGGTAAACTGTGTACGCATGTTGTTCTCCTGTTCTCTTCTCAAAAGAAGTTTTACTTTTCTACCCTTGAGCCTGAGATGGGTGTGGTCTTGCCAATTCCTAAGATGCCCTCAAGACATCTTTTCTATTGTCTCTGGGTAAAGTATTTAGCATTTTTTTAGTGACTATAAGGTCTTTTTTTTTTTAAGAGAGAGAGAGAGAAGAGAGAATTTTTTTTTCAATATTTATTTTTCAGTTTTTTGCGGACACAACATTGTTGTTTGTATGTGTTGCTGAGGATCGAACCGGGCTGCATGCATGCCAGGCGAGCGCGCTACCACTTGAGCCACATCCCCAGCCCACTATAAGGTCTTTAACCACAACTTCCTTACCCCAGTTTTACACTTTCCTGAGCATGCTGCAAGTTTTAAAAATCTTTCTGTTTTGCTTTCTGCTGCTGATTATCACAATGAACTTGACTAAAAGCTGCCAGCAATATCCATCTTCTACCTGAATGTTATGCTGCCTAGGAATTTTCTTCACCAGTTTAAGAAGTACATCTCCTTTAAATTCAGCCTCATAGAAAGTCTCAGGACATGGAAAATATAGACAACTTCTTAGCTGGTACATAACATAAAGGCTTCTCAGTCCAATTTCCAATAGTGTTTCCTTCTTCTCTGAAATCTCATGAGCCCAGTCATTACTGTTCATAGCCCTATGAACATTCTGGTATTCTGACTTCCCACCAGATTCACTCAATAAGCTCTACTTACAACAAGCTATAAGTTTTCCAGATTTCATCTCTACACTTTAAAAAATCCCTTCCCCAAATTCCAAAAAGATCAAAAAGCTTCTGAACCACATGGTCAATTAGTCACAGGAATGACCTCATTCTCAGTATCAATTTCTTACAGTTTCAGACCCAGTCCATAGACAGTT